CCTTGGGGGCCAGGCCCGAGGGGCCCCACTGGGCAGGGCGCCACGGAGCGAGGCTTGTGGACTTGCGGCCCCCGCCCCTTTCTCTTTCAGACTCCCAGGTTGTCTCCCTAATCGGGCTGTCTCTTAAAAGTCCATCCAGACCCTGGGTCCCCTTCGGGGGCTTTTCCCCAGCGGACCTGAGCTCAGCTCCGAACTCTGCTGTTGTAAATCGGGCTGCTCCTCTCGTCTCGTGGCCTTGTGAGACATGCACCCTTTTTCTTTTCTCCCACGTTCTCCCTAGGAAAGTGCATCGCTTGCGCCCAGGGGGCTCACACCATCTTTTCCCACCGCGGGCAGTTTTTAAAGCGATGGGTTCGCCCACAAAGGCAGACAGACACCCCTCCTGCCCGTGCATTCTCCCTTCCCTTCTTTTCAGATTTTTTTTTGCCCTAATTTGTCAGCTCTAGCGGCACCAGCCAGTTTTCCTCGTTCGCTCTCAAAGGAGACTGTTTACTCATTTCCCGGCTGCAGGGTCACGCCTTAAGACCCTTGAAGGTTTCCTTCAGGCCAGGGAGACTCAGCCCGAATCTCCAGGCTCCCCTCCCGGTCTCTCCCCTCCCAGAAACGCCCCATCCCCTTTTGTTTTTAAAGAACCTCGGCTCCTCCCCCTTTTTCGGCTCTTAAAGGGCCAATCCACCTTAGGCTAGCCTGGATCCAGCGCTGGAAGAAGGATGCTTAGAGACCAGCCAGCTAGCCAGTGTCTTTGCAGACAAAGAAGCCCAGGCCCAGAGGGTGGACATGACCTATCAAAGGTCACAGAGCAAGTTACCAGTGAAGCCAGGACTTGAACCCAAGCCTATGACTCCAAAGCCAGTAGATTCTAAATAAAAAACTAAAATAAAAAAAACTTCCACAAGGGTGACAGGAGCCCTTTCTGATCCTGTCTTTTGTTTTCCCAACCCTGTGATTCTCCACTGGGAGAATGACCAGAACCTGCTTGTGTGCCCAGGAGACCATTTTTCTAAATCAAGAGGGGTGGGAACTGTAGGGAGGGTAGGGGACTGCTCTGGGTGGGTGTCTGACACAGGGAACGCCATTGGGTTAGTGGGGCCTCTCCAGTGCCCGCCCTTCTGACTGCTGGGCAGTGGCCAGCTCCCTGCCAGAGCAGCAAATAAAGCCCCAGAAAGACTTAATGGGCTTCAGTGGATGGTGGCCACTCCCTGCCGCAGTGTCATTAGTTGCCACTCTGGTGGCCCTCCTCCTATCCCTTTTCAGGGTCATTGGCTCCTCCAGAATCTGGAGAAGTTTTGGTCTCAGAAACTCCTTTCCCTGGAGATGTTGGCAGCTTTGTCTTAGGGATCCCTCCCATCTGGGGGCCTAGATTTGGGGAACTGACAAGGCCTAGCCCATCCCCAAAATGGGACTCTCAGGAGGCTGTATTTGAAGCATTACTGGAAAAAGGGAGAAGACTTGTGGGTGGGGCCCTCCTGGCGGGGGCCCCAGGCGGGTGGGTCCCGCATGCAGCCCTGGCTGCAGACAGATGCCCCCTTTGTTTGTCTGGCCCCACTGCCTGCTCTGCTCCGGCTGGAACCGCCCTGGCCTGCTGCTCTCCCGGCTTGCTCCCTACAGCTCTTGTCCAGAAAGGGCACCTTACAGAGCTGGCTGGCTCCTTGGCCCTCACCTTATTTTTTAAAAAGTCAGAGCTAGTTCCATAGTGCCCTGCGTCCTTTTGTTCTTGATCTCCTCTTAAAGGGTCCTTGCCCTTTGTAAAGGGCTAATGTTTTGGCTCCCCGCTTCTCCTACATCCCTTTTATTGCTGTTGCCATCCCTTTCCTGCCCCCGAACACCCCCTCCCCCAGCTCCCTCTCTCAGGGCTCACCATTGAAGTCCTCGCTTCTTTCCCTGGAAATCAGAGATTGAAAAACTCTCTCCCTTTCCCCTTCAGGGCAAGATCTTCAGCTGGAAGGGGGTGCCTTGGGGTCCTGGGGGAGTGCCCCCCTGCCCTCCTCCAGGGCCAGGGGACCAACATCTTCAGGCAGGAAATATTCAGACCACTGTGAGGCCCGGGCTTCAAGGCCTGGAAAAAGCCGAATCCCTGGCCGTGACCACCGGCGCTACTACCACGACCACTGGCGGCTGGAGTACCTGATGGACTTCAACCCTGCCCGGCACGGCATGGTGTGCATGGTGTGCGGCAGCTCCCTGGCCACCCTCAAGCTCAGCACCATCAAGCGCCACATCCGCCAAAAGCACCCTTACTCCTTGCACTGGAGTCCCCGGGAGAAGGAAGTCATCAGCAACAGCTGGGATGCACACCTGGGGCTGGGGGCCTGCGGAGAGGCCGAGGGCCTGGGGGTCCAGGGGGCTGAGGAGGAGGAGGAGGAGGAAGAAGAGGACGAGGAGGAGGGGGCCGGTGTCCCCGCTTGCCCGCCCAAGGGCCCAGGTAACGCAAATGCAGATTCTGTAGAGGCGGGGGCCTGGGTGGCCAGTGGGGTGCAGTGGGTCAGCCGCTCTGCCAAGGAGCTGGTGTTCTTGAGCAAGTCACTGCTCCTTCTCTGGGTGGGGTCTGTTTATCGCCCTTATTATACAAAGGTGGGGGAAGGACAGTGGGGTGAGAGGGTCTCCGATGTCCATGACAGCTTGGATATTCTGTGGTTTTTGAATATCAAGGAGAGAGGTTGGGCGACAGGCCGTTAAAAGGCTTGGAGCGGGGAGGCCTGGCTGGGGTGGGTGAGGGAAGGGGAGGGTGCTGGAGAGGTGTGGCTGACGGTGAAGGCCAGGGACAGGGCTAAATTCCACTCTGGGGGAAGTGTGGGTGGTGCTTGGAGTGTGAGCAGAGGAGGGTTTAGGGAGGTGGAGTTAGGAGTTCAGGGGAGAGGAAGAGAAGGGCAAAGGTTAGGCCTGGGGCCCAAGTGAGAGAGTGGCTGTAGTGGGGTGCTCTGTGGGGCCAGCGTCTCAGTTCCTTCCCTCCAACCCTTTCAGGCAAAGCCCCAGCTGGTGGGGGCTGCCGGCGCCAGCGGCGAGGGGGCCCAGTGGCACCCCGGGCTCGGCGTCTGCGCCTCTCAGCCTCCCGGAGGGCCGGGGGCAGCAGGGGGCTGGGGGCCCGGCGCCTGGAGAGGAGGCTGAAGGAGTCCCTGCAGAACTGGTTCCGGGCTGAGTGTCTCATGGACTATGACCCGCGGGGGAACCGGCTGGTGTGCATGGCCTGTGGTCGGGCACTGCCCAGCCTGCACCTGGACGACATCCGTGCCCACGTGCTGGAGGTGCACCCCGGCTCCCTGGGGCTCAGCGGCCCCCAGCGCAGTGCCCTGCTGCAGGCCTGGGGGGGCCAGCCTGAGGCGCTGTCTGAGCTCACCCAGTCCCCACCAGGTGCGAGGCCCATCCCAGGCTGAGACCCCCTCATATTGGGGCTCTGAAGTGGAGTCTGGCCAAAACTGGGAGGCAGGGACTTAGGGCTGAGGGCTGAAGGCCAGGAGCTGGCGCTCCACACACATACACTCACTCCGCCCCCAGACACAGACAGACTGGGGCCTTTAGCTTGGGGCTGGGGTGAGGAGCCAGGATGGACCCCTCTGCGTGAGCAAGGGCAACCCAGCCAGCAGGCTGAGCCCCTCTCCCTCACCCCTTCCCCAACAGGCGATGACCTCGCCCCCCAGGACCTGACCGGAAAGAGCCGGGACTCGGCCTCCGCTGCTGGAGCCCCCACCTCTCAGGATCTCAGCCCCCCAGACGTAAAGGAAGAGGCTGGCTGGGTCCCTGAGAGGCCCGGGCCCGCAGAGGAGGAGGAGGAGCTGGAGGAGGGCGAGGGCCAGAGGGCGGGGGTCCCGGGCCGGTCGCCGCGGGGCCGCGCCCACCGCCGCCACCCCCAGGAGCGCTGGCGGCTGGAGTACCTGATGGACTTCAACCCTGCCCGGCACGGCATGGTGTGCATGGTGTGCGGCAGCTCCCTGGCCACCCTCAAGCTCAGCA